ATCGAGTTGAAAGCACCCTCTCCACAAGCCGCCGCCTCACGGCCGGCGTACCACAAGGCTCCTGCCTCTCACCTTTGCTCTTTACGCTCTACACGAGCGATATACCTAAAGACCCCCACGTCAATCTCGCGCTTTTCGCGGATGACACGGCGCTCTTTTATGCAGACCGCAGACCTTAGACAACTAACCGCTCGACTCCAAAGCGCTGCCGACCGCCTCGGCGATTGGTTTCGCAAATGGAGAATAGAAATAAATCCCGAAAAGAGTGTGGCGATTCACTTCACACGAAGTACTTACCCGTCACATCTTTATAATGGCCCTCGTCAATGCAGAAAGTTGGGGCAAATATCCCTTTATGGCCAACCGCTCCCCTGGGAGAAAAAGGTCAAATACTTAGGAGTCACTTTCGACTCGCGTATGTCATTTACTACGCACATTAATAACGTTCGCAATAGAGCCGCGTTCGTCTCCGGCCGGATACACAATTTAACTAACGCTAAAAGTAAAATGCCCTTAAGGCACAAATGATTATTATATAAGACCTGCGTACGACCTATTATGTCTTACGCATGCATGACCTTCGCCCACACGCACCCTACTAGCTTGTACAAGTTGCAAATAGTACAAAATAAGTTCATCCGCCGCGCAACCGGTGCGCAGTGGTATCAACGCAACGTCGACCTGCACAGCGATTGCAGACTCCCGACGATTCGCGAATATTTTAAAGACCTGACCAAACGGTTCTTCGATAGAGCCGAACATCATCCCAACCCTCTGGTGGTAAGCGCAGCAAATTACCAACTCGAACAAAACGCGAACGTCAACAAGCGTCGCCCGCGAAACGTCCTAATCGACCCGGTCGAGGAAGGGGACTTAGACACGCCGGACTCACTGCCGGGGGTCCCGCCGGACAACACTACACCCACAGTTAGTGCAACAACAAACACACTAGTTCGCCCTCGCCTCCGAGCACGGCGAGACCAACACAACGCGTACACAAGGTACACCCGCGTTCCGGGGCGGTTCTCACCGCCCCCAGCCACCGATTAGCTAATTGCACAGTCGACGGCCATCGGGGTTTCGGTCCGAACCACGACCTCGATGGCCCTTAGATGACGTACCATAGTTAAACGCACGCATGAGCACATGCGTGGCCCTACCCACAGCGGAGGGCCCAAACCCGTGGGTTCTGGCTAGCCCACCGGTTCTGCGTCAGATGAAGCTTTAATAGTCTCGGGACTGAAAGCAAAAACATCAGTTAATACAAGATACAAGATACAGAATATATTGTTACGAATGGAAACAGTGATATGTACCGACTCAAGATTTTAAAAGAGAAGCTTCGCAAAAAATCTTTCGATGGCTTTCCAAATATGAGATATACCGTATACATAATACGTTCAATACTGTCTGAAACTGAAATTTAAAGAAATGCCGTGGGAATATTGCCAAATCAGACGCATAATTGTTCGCATATTTTCACTAGATGCAGTTACAAAAAAAAATGTTTGAAGGTTCCTTTATAATTAACTCATTTTAATAGCCCGAACTTATTTTATTCGTAAACATTTAATATTCAAAACACGACTGACAGATTCGATATGACGGTCTGATCAGGGCCGAAGTCTCTTTGGGCTTATTTAAAAATATGAGATAGACTTTTAGAACCGTTGTTGAAATACATCTAGTAATATTATATTATCGTAAAGTGCCAACTGGTTGTGGTAGAGGCAGCTTAAAAGCAAAAAATTGCTTCACTTTGACGTTCGAGAGTAGAGCACAACCTCAACCGCTATGCGATATGAGGCGTGCAATATTGTACGGCCATATTTTCTAACTTTGTCATCCAGTTCAAGGGCGGATCCAGGGGAGGGTCATGGGGGTCATGACCCCCCCCTGGGCTGAGTCTAGGACCTAGGTGGACAACTAATTAAAATTGTTAAACATAATGTTTTAATATATTTTTTGCCACAATATAGATTTTATGTAAGTACCTTCAATATTTCATTAAATAATATAATATTTTTAACCGACTTCAAAATGAGGAGTTTCTCAATTCGATTGGTATATTTTTTTCGATGTATGTACACCGATTACGTTGAGATTTATGATCCGATTTACGTGATTCTTCTTTAGTTTGATGCAGAATTGTTGCCATTTGGTCCCATAAAAATTTACCATAGTTTGGCCAAGTAGTTTTCATTTTATGAACATTTTTACAATATTTTAATTTTAAGTCGTCAAATCAAATCTCGCAAATTAAATTTGATCTACTTCCCGGTTACCGGTTGAGCTGTAATTTTGTATACACGTGTAAATCGCGAGACAATGCAATATTTTTATGACATGGTGCTGATCTGATGATGGAGCTGGAAGGAAGGCCATAGGAACTTCGAATCAAACCACAGAGCCTCACCGTGTTTGGGTACATTTGAATAGTAGTGACGAGTAGTTTGTCTTTCATTGGTAACCAGGATCTGATTTTGGAGCTCCATCCTCAGCCGTCCATGGACATATGCATAGGGTTGCTGATGCGTTTTCTCCTTATAATAAAGTGTGCTCCAGCTACCTCACTCACCAGACAAATCGCAGAAGTACTTGACGCCGATCTTCTGTGAGGTCTATGAGGCTATTCTGTGAGGTTCCTATGATTACTCTGTAATGAAACGACTCAACCCCATCGAGTTTCGGCTCGTTTGATTCGTCTTGGCGAGTTTTTAATTTTTAGATGGTTACCATTATCTGATGATGGAGCTGGAAGACAGTCATATGAACTCAGTAAAGAAACGACGCAACCCTATTGAGTCTCGGCTCGTTTGATTCGCTATGACGAGTTCTTTGGTGCTAGATGGTAACCAGGGTCTGATGACCGGGCTGGAATGTGGCCATAGGAACTCAGTAATTAAGGAACACAACTGCGTCGAGTTTGATTTGTCTTAATGGGTGGGTTTTTGATGGGTAGTGAGATGTGGTGGTTTAGTGGACGTGAGTATGCGAGACCATCTTTGGGAAATAAAGTTTTTGTGAATGTGGATTCTGTCTTTGAATAGATGGATTAGAAGCGCTGAATATTTTGAATAAATGAATGAATAAATATTTTTTTTTGTTATATATGAACATTTTTTTAATGTGGACGATGTCATTTTATTTTATGTACGGCTATTTTAGGAGTTTTCATTTGGGTTGATTATACAGCGTGTCGTTACCATCGCGACAATAAATGAACACACCGTCGCATACGGAGAGAGCCTTGTAATACGCCGCCACAGCGTCGTATTACAAGGCTCTCCTTCTAACAGTATGTTTTATCTCTTTTAAATTCATTCAACCCATTCATATGCTTTGTGACCTTTACAAATGAACTTTACGTAACGCTTTCATAGGTAAGGGTGTTCTAAAATTCTTTGTTTTGGAAAATTTAATAACTGTAAATATTGATGTTTAAAGAATTTAAATGTTTAATACAACTTTAAAAAGTTATCCCCTATATGTGTGTTAATTTATTGTCGCGATGGTAACGACACGCTGTATATTATTATTAAACCGTGTCCCGATAGTCCCGTCTTAGGCTACTTGTCATTGAAGTGGAGCCAGCGTGCGGAGTAGAGGAATAAAGAATATTATAACCAATACGACTACATTAAATCTGGTAACGAAGAAACAAATAAACTAAATTGCAAAAATAAGTAAGCTTACCAATAGCTACTTAAAAAAATACTATACAGGGAGGCTTTTCTAGTGTATCCATTGTTTTTAATCAAATTCTAAACATAAATAATGTTATATAAGTAATGACAAATATTTGAATTCACTCGTAATTAATTAATTACATTCATTTGAACTTATCTCAGAAAGTGCGTGATTTATGGGCAACTCATTTATTTTACGCGCGATCATTCATAACTAACAAGCACACAAGTTCGTTTCAAAAGTATACGACGCATTTAGGAATGACTACCTCATTGTCAACAAGTTTGTTTTTAGGGAATAGAATGCCAATTTCTTTAAAAAAAAAGTTTGTTTTTATTTCAATTAACGATTATACTACCGAGTCTGAACCTCCTGTGTGCATTTGAGCACCTTTATAAAAGCCACCTTGTATAATAATATATGATAATAAAAAGCAACGAAATGTTACGAACAAAAAAGAATTTTGCAAATCCGTCTATATCTGACGAAGGTATGCCCGAACATACCTACATAAAAAAATATAAACGTCCGAATTGATAACCTCCTTCTTTTTGAAGTCGGTTAAAAATAAGTACCTACTTTTTACTTGTATCTATGATTATAAAAATTTAATTATAACTTCTTATCACTTGACCACGACTACGTGACCAAAGCTGGATCCGCCCTTGATCCAGTTCACGGTCATCACTGAGGAAAAACCTCTTCAAGGCGGCGAACAAAGTTAACATTACTTTTCACTCCTAACTTCGCCAGACGATTGTTATGAATATTGTTTTTTATGGGTGGCAAACGAGCTGGTGGTTCACCTGATGTTAAGTGATAACCGCCGCCCATGGATTTGCAACACCCGCAGGGTTGCAGGTGCGTTGCCACATTTTAATGTGTTATAAAATGTAAAAAAAGTAAAGTAAAGTAACAGCCTATACATCTCCCACTGCTGGGCAAAGGCCACCACGCGGCCCCACTGCGGATTGGCGGACTTCACATATCTTAGAAATATTTTTTTTTGTTATTATTTCGAAAATTTACAAGTTTCCTCACGATGTTTCCCTTCACCGCGGAGCACGTGACAAGTCAGCACTTAAGTTGGTGCCGGCACCGGGGATCGAACTCAGGTTGCTCGAGTACATTGGATTAAAGGCGAGCGCCCGGACACTGAGCTATCACGGCTCTATGTGTTATAAAATGAATGGGGATCGAACCCACACGCTCTAGCGAAGGTCGTTATCAAAGGAAGTTATCACAGTGTCGATGAAAAAATGATTTTCTCTCGTTTATCAAGTTCTCATCCGTCGAGATCTCCCGTTCAGGTACTGGGTAAGCACGGGCGCGGCATAACCGAGCACTTGAAGATCCCGAGGGACGAGATCGACCTCATAGTCGGCTCCCTGGAGCATTCGTTCGCTACCATCGGCGGTTTCTGCGCGGGCACTCACTTCATTGTCGAACACCAGCGGCTCTCTGGGCTCGGTGAGATGAATCTTGTTTATCTTCTCGGCTGATTAATAGTGTAATTTTAGGTCTGAACAGGACATCTGACACAGGGGAATATTGACTGCGCAAACAATGTATTGGATGCGTAAAACTGAACATGCGCATACATTTACCCCTTCTATGTTGTTTACCGGTCGCTATATGTCCTCCAAAGTTTAATACGTCTCTTCTCTTAATAGTTGTTTTTTTTTTATGTGAAAAGTTGCCAAGCGAACAGACGGTTCACCTGATGTTAAGTGAATACCGCCGCCCATGGACATCTGCTACACCGGAGGGTTGCAGATGCGTTGTCAACCTTTTGAAAATAGGGCTCCGACCACCTCACTCACCGGACGAAACGCGAAAGTATAATACTTCCACTTTACGCTGGTCTTCTGTGAGGTCGTGGTACTTACCCGGACGAGCCTGCCCATTTGTGCAACAGCCGAGGCTGCTACGTGGCCCTACCACCGTAGAATCCGATCTTCAAGTAGTCTTGCAGGTTATAAATAACAGCCTATACATGTCCCACTGCTGGGCAAACGCCTCTGTACAGAGGGTATCAGTGCATAGTCCACGCGGCCCCACTGCGGATTGGCGGAGTTCACATATCTTCGAAATATATATATTTTTTAGTTATTATTTCGAAAACATGCAGGTTTTCTCACGATGTTTTCCTTCACCGCGGAGCACGTGATAAGTTGGCACTTAAAGTTAAAAGTTTCATCGGTTCCGGCACCGGGGATTGAAGTCTGGTTGCTCGAGTATATTGAGTTAAAGGCGAGCGCCCGGACACTGAGTTATCACGGCTTGATCAAGTTTAAATAATCATCACTACTTCCTTGATGGATGATCTATTTTATTTTTTATCTAAGAAGGTGATAAGCGAGCTGGTACTTCACCTGATGTTAAGTGATAATGCCTGTGGACATTTGCAACACCCGTAGGGTGGAGTATGCGTTGCCACCTTTAAATAAAGTGGGCTCCCTCACTCTCCAGACGAAAAACGAAAATATAACACTTCCATTTCATGCTGGTCTTCCGTGAGGTCCTAATATTTCCCCAGATGGCCCTGTATGACGACCACATTTGACCCTTCACTCGAAGCATAGTCAACGTTTCCAATATCGTCACCGTTCTGGTTACAGTCTTGCAGTCTTCAATTAGTTTTGCAGTTTCCAAGCCGTCTTTCTTTGTATTTATCACAAGAAAAGGCTAATGTGTTTTAGTTCCATTGATATCGTTATGTATCCATTGGCGAGGCGTGTTAATTTTTCCGTAGCAATTTTACGTTATCGGGAAGGATTATAAAACACATTTATCACGAAACGGTATAAACGTAATACATACACACATAAAATAATTACGGATTCGTTTCCTCTGCAAAAAATCATAATGTACCGACAAACGGTTAAACCAGTTTAGAAATATAGTTGTAAAGTGACTACGAATTCACGCTGCATATACGCAAAACTTAGCTCGTCAGGGTAAGAACCATGTCCTCACAGAAAACTGACGTGAAGCGAACATGTTATTGCTTTTCTTCTGGAGAGCGAATTAACCGATCCACGCATAAGGGTAGCTAAAGCATCTGTAACCTCAAGTGTTGATTTACATAGACAAAATATGTCTCTTGTCATTAGGTGAACCGCTCACATTAAAAAAAACTAGACAGCACTATGATATGCTACAAATTTCATGGTCTGTATATTCCATAGGCTATTGCTTCAGCGCGTCCTTGCCGCCAATGTTGACGCAAGCCGCCATATCTGCGCTTGACATCTTGGAAGAGAAGCCGGAGATCCTTAGGGAGTTGGACGATAACTCGAGAAAGCTTAACAGGTTTGGAGTTTATTTGTATTTTAATTTATTTTATTAGAAGTAAATGTAATATATGCATTGAGGTGTTTTTTAAACAAACTTTACTTTAATTATGTTAATAATATTATCTGCATAAACTAGAATATAGTCGAAATTTTGAGGATCGCATTAGTTGACTGTCATTGATTTACATTTATACTTATAGATTATTTACCATAGTTCAATTTTTTACATTTTCATCGTTATCAATCTTTTTAAACGGTTTTATTTAGCTCGACACGTACGGAATTTATTTGTTTATTTGGGTCAAAATTAGAAATTGAAATTTAAGCACCTTCCCGTTGTCAGATTGATCTGAAATTTGGTACACACATTTTATTTATATGACAATACACTATTGTAGTTTTCAGTGCACAAAAAAAAAACAGAAAATAAAACCGTTTAACTTAAAAGTTTTTAAACGGTTTTATTTACATTTAAAATTGGCAAGTGAAGAAACAATACACACTATGCTAAGAGATTCCACCGGACATTTGGGGTTGGGAACGATATTGACGACATTGAAAGTTGCAAACCGGGATATGGTCATTTAGGGCTTTCTGAAGGGTTTGCTCGAGCTCATCCGAAGGTGCCGCGTGGGCCTGTTACTTTCTTATGTAAAAGTTTCTGTGTACTCCTTGCAATGACAACGATCTAGATGCTTCTACGTGTGGCGTATGTCGGTCACTTAGTTAACGCCAATCTAATCGCAGAGCGTTGGCACAACTGAAACACTTCACGTTCCGCGGCGACGAGGCATCGCCGATAAAGCACATATACCTCAAGAATTCCGAACTAACGGACCGCTTGAAACACTCTTATCTGAGGGGGATCGCCGACTATTGCATGAAGGGGGGCGTGGCGATCGCGGTCGCCGCGTACTTAAGGGACGCCGAGAGAAACTGTCCGGAGCCCTCCATCCGACTCGCCTCCAGCAGGAAGCTGAACGACGAGAGCATCTCTATGATCTGCAGGCTTTTGGACGAGGCGCACGAGCACGTCACCCCCAAAGCCGATCTGCAAGCGCTGTAGATGCCGTCTTAACCGATTTCATGCATTCACGCGAATACTACGTGTGGGGAACTAGATTATTTCACGGATTGTATCGAATTTCGCAAGGGGGACACTCTGTCCTGTGATCTGAACGGTGTTAGGTGTTCGAAATCGATATACGAAACGGGATAAAATCCGTAAAATAGTTTTTTTTTTATCATAACTATTATTATTTGATCGTCCAAAACGCCCGTTTCTTGCGTGCGTTGGTCAAACTTTACTAGTTAGGCTAATTTGTTGGCTAATGTGCGAAACATAATAATTCAATAAGTCCAAGCATTTAATTGGTTTCGCAATTTTCCTATATTGCATGAGAACTAGTATTATTCGTCATCATCATCATTTCAGCCGTTGTGTAAAAATGTGTCCTAAAATATTTATTTTTATTATTACCCTTTTATGTAACGCAAAATGTACACTTAGCAACCCTAGTTTATTATATTAAAGTTACATTGAAAGCACCGTTGACTTTAACAACAACCAAACAACATAAATGTCTAAGTATTGTTTTAATCTCGCCAAATTTAATTGAAGAATAAATATAAGTGTCAATTGTAGAGATCAATTTACTTCTTTTTATTTACTTTTAACTAGGTTCGCCTAATTTTCTTCCATTATTTTATACCAGTGTATTATGTTTAATAAACTAACAACTACTTAAAACCGTACATAAATATCGTTTCAGATTGCTTTTCTTTACTTTTATTAATCTATTTCCTCTTCTTTTTTTTATTCTACGGTTTATTGGGTAAGCATATTATTCATTTTGTTATGTGTACCAAATCCTCATTATAGATTATAATTAGAATAGTTTTATCTAAGCAATATTTGTACGACGTTTTTTTTACGATTTGCACCAAATAACTTTTCACGTTGCATTTTAAGTTTGAGTGTTGTTAAGTTTTTACGTGTCAGTTAACGCAAATGTCAATTAGTAAATATTGTTTGCACTTTCCAATTAATTTATATAAGTTTTCAAATGTTTGTATTTAAAATTTAAACATTCATGAAATTGTAGATATCCTTTGCACTATCCAAATAATGTATATAGTTTCCAAATGTATGCATTTGAATTTTAAACATCCATAAAAGTAATTTTTCTAATAAGATTTTTAGTTTATGAATTTAATAATAATACAAAATTTGTTGTAACCTTGGTGTTTTGATAGCTGAAAAATGCTCTTAAACACTTCATTACCCATAATTTTTCCTACAATATCTGCACGAACTGTCCATAACTACTATTGTAATGATCTATCTATAAATATCAATGATACTTTATGTATGTACCAAAATGAATAAAATAATTGTTATTGTTATATTTTATTATTTTATTTAGTACTCTCCGTCACTGCAGTAATGTACTTGTTTAATGTAATAATTTTATATTACCAACAGACGCGTTATGGAGGCTCATTTCACATAACAATGACCACGTGAAGATAATTTGTATGTGTAAGTTAGTCTCACCTTTTGACTATAAAAGCCCTCATTTGATTATTGAAAAAACCTCATTATTAAAATTTCGTGCTCCATTCGAAATTGTAAATGTGTCATGCAATAAACATGTCATGTTTATTACATATTTATTTTCTTATTCTTAACCGCTTAAAAAATTATATACAAAAAAAAAAAAAAAAACACCTATTATATTATGATAACAAACTGATTTTTTGATGTTATCTACCGTGTATGGTAACAATCGGATTTTGTTTTGAGGCCTGTTCTTTTAACCAGGGTCGATAAAGGGACCTCGTGTTGTGTATTATGTTTTTTTACCAACAAAACCGAAAAGATTTTTTGACTCAGTAACAGCATTCCGTTCGGTTAGAAGAGAATCAGAGAGCATTGTCAAATAATTCGGAGCAGCGTTCAAAGCTTCAAGTCCGGATCATCGGAAAATTTGCTTAAAAATAAAATACAACTTGTACCGAAAAGACACATATACAGAGTTCGTTTTTTCGGCTGTAAGAAAAGTTAAGAAACACATCCAATAATAAAGATGAGCGATGCAACGTATAGATTGTCCTGACGATTACTTCTCACTTTGGCACGGTATTTCCTTTTTATTTATTTAAAATAACTTTCGATTTTTTTCTTAATTATTAGTTGCTTACTGGCAAGTATTGTTGTTAAAAAAGTTATGGGAGATAGGAATCATCATTAATTACTTTTTGAACTCCAACGTTTCAACTCTATGAAAATAAAAAGTCACGACTCTATACTCAAACGTTTTGATCAGTGGTAACATTAAAACCTGTTCGATTAAAAAAAAACAATTGTATTGCCGCTTTTTTTTATTAAGAACATGATTATAATATACACAAAAACATTTCAAATGTTGAATATTACCAATAAATTGATGCTGTAACGGTGCCAACTATAAAATTCCCGCCATTATGAATTTATGTGGTAATGACGAACGTGTTGGCTGTTCATAAGTGTTTCCGCCTCCTAAGGCAATTTAGGTATATCGACGGGTTAGGTTTATCTATATAGGAGATGAGATCGACAGATGCCAGACTAACCTTTAAAAATTACTTGCAGTGTTAATAATTCCATTTTACGGACTTCAATTATTAAGTTATACTTACTCATAAAGACGTCTAAAGATGTAGTGAAGAAAAGTAAAATAATGGTAACAAATGCTAAATGATTTTAATTGAAAAATAAAATTGATTGTTAGGTGCAGTACAAATCAACAGGCGCACAACTTAACGGTTTGACACCTAAATAGCCTAATAAAAGACAAAGCGTAGGTTGCCTCGCTTAACAAGGGGAAATCCTGATATTGTCTTGGTGTTCCTGGTGATATCCCGATATAGTATACTGACCCTTTGTCGCTAAGGCAAAATTATAAATTCAATATAAAAAGAAGCAAGAATGAACATTTAAAAATAAAGCTTACCTTTACCTAAAGGTACGATTACTGAAGTTAGTGCTATTCAAAAATGTGATAGGTTAAGATCAGGGCTGTTGTTAAACGAAAATCTAAGCCGATTTCGGTTTTTCTTCCCGCACGGGAAGAGTATTTGTATGATCATCAAATATTCTATAAGTGCATTTGTATCTAAAGTGTCACTTCACTACAACTACAACATAGGATAGCGTTATGCTAGAGCGAGAGGTATATATAATACCATCCTGCAATAGGAAAAATGTTCTTATTTGAAAGGGTGGTTACTCCGGCACCATTTCGTTGGCCATATGACAGTAGCCCACGTTCCGTTTGAACTGGGTTTCGTCGGGTGCGTGGAGAGGTTTCCGTATTTCTATGAGTCGTCGATCCGTCTCCAGGGCTTGGTTCTTGTATTCCAAGTCCTTGACCACGCGCTGATGATGGTTGTACATGTCGTGGTAGGTAGCTCTGTAATGAAGAACCCTAGTGAAAACCTGCACAAGTCACCTCTTAACCAGATTGCGTAGGCTTTTATAATTAAAATGTTTCGACCGAAGTAGGGCCATTTCGTCTGGGAAACGGCATAAGGCATGAGTCTATAACACATCAAGTTTCTTATGGAGCCACCTTAGAGTAACGAACAAAATGTGTAAGTACCTAATGAAATCTTGTACTATGTGTTAGTCACATTTGGTATACCTTGGTAAAGTGATAATCAAAATGAATTCGTTCTAAAATATGTTTTCACCCCCTTGAGGTTAAAAGATGTAAGAGCACATTGTTTATAGAAATACCTAGTAATTTCATCATCATGATTAGCCGCAAGACGTCCACTGTTGAACATTTGTATCCACCGGTTGCCCGCAAGTAATTTACGCAAGCCATAGTAAAGTATTTTTAAAACTACAGCTTATACAAGTTATAAATTTGTAAAATAATAGCATGGGTGGTTGATATGTTTTTGTTCCAAAAATTAATGATTTAAAAACTATGTAATTATTCGGATATATTCGATATTTCAGCGGAGCAAAAATTCGATGCGAAAGCGAACGTTCGCACGACCTGACCCCTACTTGACCTTGAATCTTTAACGAATACATTACCGCGATACCTACACAAAAACGCATCCTTCCAGTCCGTTAATGTTAACCCAAATAAAATTAACTAGTCAACTACTGTTACCAGTGGTAATTCGATGTGGGAGTTAGATTCTCGCACGCGGGAAATATTGGTATGAGAATTAAAACTAATTAAACTACTGTACCAATCGGAACAATATTTATACCATAAGATGCAGCGTGTTTCGGAGAAGTTTTTAGTATATATGTTGTTGATTAAGTACATATCCGGAACCGATATTTTTTCGACATAAAGAAGATGTATGACCCAGCGAAGCGGGCGGGGGAAAGCTTATAGATTTAGGAATAGTATGAATAAACATACTTAGATATCAAACTACGATTATTCAGATCTTGTCATGTGTATATTCTATGTACTTTTATTTTCATCCTTTAGTATGATAACGAATACTGGATAAAAATTAAATTTTTATATCAACTTACAGCGCATCTTCTAGCTTCTTCTGCAACATGTTTGAGCTCATATGGATCCTCTCGTATTCTTCTATCAAACCGCGCATCGGTTTATCCTTCGAAGCGTTAAGTAATAAATTAGCATAAACATTGTTTAGATATTTGACAATATAATGAGTTGGAATACGTATTTGTACTGTTTGCTATAGAAAATACTTAGGTCCGAGCGGTCACTGCAAAAATTTCTAAGTGAATTTTTCAAAAGGTAATACCTTAGATATAGCCACAACTAGTATCGCGCCGAATCGGGAGGAAACCCAAAAACATTTCTTTACTACACATTTATTGTGTCTAAATAATACATGTGTCTAGCGGACCCGACAGGCTTTGTCCTGTACACACGACTTAAATCTTATAAATATTAGCTTATAAATAAAAAAAATAAAAAAAAATTGTAGTGGACCGAATTGTGAATCTAAACTATTCTCGAATCGACCTGAAGATCACAAAAATTTCATTAAAATCTGTCCAGCCCTTTAGGAGGAGTTTAGTGACATACACACGTACAGAACAGTTATATAAAGATAAGTATTGATTGATGTAAATTATGTATTCTTAGCCGAGCTTCATGGATACGAACTTGGACTCTTTCGAGGACTGGTCTCCTGGTGCGTGTTTCCAGTCTTGTTTCTACTAGCTTGGTCGGATTTATTTTATCAGCTACAGCTGCTCGCAAAGCCTCAATCTCCCTTTCAACCTTTTGCAGATTTGTCTCTAACTACAAAATGAATGAAAACATTGTTTTAAAAAATGTAAGCGAAAAAAAAAGGGAAATTGGCAGTTGAGGGTCAGTTTACTTATTTGAGCAATAGAAATCCTTTTCGTTATTAAAGTTTATTTATAGCCCGTTTATTTTAAAACATCAAAAGCGTGATATATATTGTTTTATTTTTCGAATTTGCATCATAGGAGATTTTTTAATTAAAAAAACAAATAACTAAATAAAATAGTTACAACATTAGACAAGTAATATTTATATTTACTGATCTATCAAGCATGGCACATTACACAAGTCTTATAAAGATAGAATTAAAAATGAATTGGAATATTTTTTTAATATCTTCGATATATCTATCACACTCAAGTTACCTAATTAGATAGAAAACTTATTTGTTCTGCTGTTGGAAATCGCCAGCAATTTAATCTGTTTTGCTATGTAAGTAGTTGTTTCCATCCTTACATTTCTGACATTATAATATATTACATACCTTATATTTCTGCCATTCCATCTCGTTTCTTGCCCTTTGTATATCATACACTCGTCTCCTCATGATCATCTCTACCATTTGAGACTGGGCGTACATCTGGTTCGTAGCCTGCTCCCTCGACTTAAACATCGATGCCCTCAGCCCCTTGGAATCCACCATCAGCTGTTCGGCAATTCGTATCGTGTTTTCTACGCAATGCACGTAGTTCTCTTCCGTCATTGAACTGAATGCAAAAAATATAACTATCGATGGCTAAGTTTTTTGTTCATTTTTAACGAAAGATGTATATTTATATTATAGTATATATAATATTAAGATATACATTTAATCAGAAGCAGTTCCATTACAATAGAAACTGTTTCCAGGTACGGTTATCACATGTAATGACGTAGTGTTTATGGCAGATTCTGGAGGAATAGGCTAAGCAGTGGCTTTTGATGATGATAACATTATCCAAATATATAAAAACGTGTTTTACACGCAACGAATAACATTGTCGTGTGAATCAAGAAGTGCAACTGCAATTGATGTGAGTTGTAGTTATTGATTATAGTGAAATTTTATGTTCTCACGCCAAAGTCCAAGGCTTAATCTGGTCGTTATATTAACGATTTGCAGTACCTACGGCTAAGTTAAGGTGTTCTAGGTGGTTCGTATGAACAATGTTGAAGAATAAGAAAAATATGTTTTGGGGAGCGGGCATTCGTACTTGAATGCAGCGTTCATACGTGAGCGCGTTCATGTGTGCGTACATGTGCGCAATGTGTGTGCTAAAAACCACGGCGGTCATTGGGCCAATTCTTACACTTTTTAAATGGAGAAAAATTTCGTGTAGTTATTTATTTTATGTTTCAACATGTTGATTAAGATTTTTTTTTTATTCTCAAAAATGGATAATCGCCCCAGGTTCAAACTTATCGCTTAAGCGTCAATTTCGGAACTTGGGTCATTGTAAATTGATATAGAGCGTGACTAGAAAAATAAACAAGGCCGCCATGTTTCGGAAACAAAATATAGGTAAATAAACTTTTCTGCAAATCATTATGTGTAACAACTAACAACGAAGAAAGCGATTACATCAAGGAGCGGAGAAGGTTCCTTTTTATTCTTCTATAAATTCGGATGTTTATATTTTTTATGTATCTATATTCGGACATAACTTCGTCATATATAGACGGATATGTAAAATTCTTTCTTGGTCGAATTGGTTTCATGATGATTTTCGGAGATAGCAACGGAACTCTATCGCATAAATATGCATTGTTTTGCATGTTAACGTTGTAATAGTTATGTATATCGTTTGAAATTGGTTCTTTTTTGTTAATTTTTTTTTTATTATTGTGAGGTCATCGGTAAGACTAAGATTTTCAACAAATTCTTATATTATTAGCTCACTCGGTAGGAATTCTTGTGGGGTCCAACTGAAATGAAATATTAGAGCAGTCTCGGTTCAAATCCTTAACATGATATTCTAGGTTCAGCGTTTCGTCTTTATTTTGTATCTCCCGGTCCAGTCTGCAAAACACATTTTGCAACTCCTTTATCTTCTCCCAGCCCATGTGGCAAACATCGGTTAGGACACGCTTGCTATTCTCTATTATGTGGAGTTCCTAGAAAGTGTCAAGGCATATTAGATCGTTGCCAAGCTTTTTCAAATGCATTTTAAAGCAATATTTTTAATGCTGAAGATTATGTTAGTGATCTAGGTTTATGATCGTATTGGCTTCGAAAATTCCTACCGTTGCAATAATAATAGTCATAAATAAAGCATAAAGATTTCATTTTTTTTCTGAAGTATAAAAAAATAAACGTCTGCATTCCTGTGGGGCTATCCTATTACTCGATTGAGTCAACATGGCGAAAAACAAGTCAAATTTTATTGTTCTACAGCCAAAGATTTAAGCCTTTCTTTTAACTATGGTAGGGCCTCAGTTAAATAGTCTTCGTTGTTACATGAATAAGCAGGTCAGTCGAGAGAAGTACCACAACCTCTCAGAAGACCGGCGATAAGTGAAGGCGATTGAAACAGCCAGGACCCTCTTTATTAAACTATGGCAACGCATCTGAAACCCAACGGGTGTTACAAATGTCCATGAGTAGCGGAAATAACCTAATATCAGGTGAACCGCCAGCGCGCTACGCCCTTCTCACATAAAAAAACTTGTTTTTTGCTGAAAAGTGTGGCTACCCCAAAAAGAACCTAAAGTAGACATATTTATATTTTTGAAGTCCGTTCATTCGTGGCCCTTAACTGTAAGCAACGCAGCCTAAACCCAAGGGTGTTGTAATAATAATCCATAAGGATACCACTTCCCATCATTACATAACATTATATGAACTAATTGCCCATTTGCAACCGTATTGTTTGAAAAAATTTTTTCAAATACCTTCTTTAATTCTTCTTCTAATTGGTCTCTTGTTAATTCCGGGGGAACTCTCTGGTCTCTATTGTTCAAACATTGCGAGAGTACCATAAGTGGTACCTGCAATGATTCTAAATGTAGTTCTGTCGCATTCTTCTCTTCTTTTAACATTCGGATCTCGTCGCGCACGCACTCTCGTGTGAACCGCTGTTTCTCTCGCCATGATTGAACTTCGAATATTCTAGGTATTAACAGTTGAATTGTAATATTTGATCATAAATAGAGGCTTATTAAAAAGATTGTTAAATTATGTTTATTTAAAATATAAGTTAGTACCTGTCTCTTAATAACTCATTGTTTGTATAATTATCCCACTGAGTAGTAACGGACGTTTCGTTACGAAGCTGGTTAGCTCTTTGTCTCAGTTCATACGATTCAAACCTACGTAATCTAGCTTCATTCTGAAGTCGCTGAATATTTCGTGTCCAATCCAACACACTGAGTTTTGGATGAGGTTTTTCAAAAATTGGAATGGAGGAATCCATTATTATTAAAACCAGCTGAACAAAGCTGTTTGATCAATATATCAAAAAGAGAGACGATAATTCATCAATGCGATAAAATATTTTTACTCACGACTTTATATTTCTGTTAACATTAAATACTTTGTAAACTGCTCTCATCTATATTTCATGATATCCAAGTACAATAAAACAAAAGCAAAACATTGTGGCTAAGATTAAATAAAATTGGGAGTTTTTAGTAATATTTCACCTTTTGACCCAACGTTAAATAAATTAGTTCTTATATTTTGCAGCTTAAAGAAAATTATGGAGCAAAATATATTTTTTTTAATTTTCTAATTTTCGACTTTTCTCAAAAAATTATTGACACGTCGGACAAAAATCGCAGGGCAACATTGAAATCAAAACGGTACACAAAACATGGCGGCTCATTAAATAGCTTGTTGAGAATTAGAAGCTTTGCCATAAAAGGTCATTATTTCAGTGTTTAATTATAATTTCTTTTAGGGTTTTTGTAGTAGTTGCTGAAGAAAAGTTTAGTGTTATTACTTTCCTAATTAATCCGTTGAACAATGTAAGTAACAAGTCTAATTTTGTTGAGTCAGTTGTTAAATTTACATATTTTTAGGCACTTCTTTTTTTTTTTGTTAGGTACGATGATAGGCGCGGTGGTCGTGGTGGTGGACGTGGTATGGGCCGTGGAGGTCGGGGCGGTGGAAGGGGAGGTATGCGGGGAGGTCGGTCAAGCGACAGGTCGGAAGATAGAGGAAGCCGATTTAGCTCTAGCAGGGGTGGCAGAGGTTTCGGAAACCGCGGTGGCGGCGGCCGCGATGACTTCAAAAGCTTCAAAAACGACCAACCGGGTGGCAATTTGAGGAAGATACGCTGGGAGTCGGTAACGCTCACTCCGTTCGAGAAGAACTTCTACGTGCCCCATCCGAATGTGCAGCGACGCTCTGCCGCTGAAATTGAGGCGTACCGCAGCGAGAACCAGATCACTGTCAAGGGCCGAGATGTGCCAGCGCCCAGCATGTACTTCGAAGAAGGTGGATTCCCCGATTACGCTATGAAGGAGATTTTGAAACAGGGCTTTCCCCATCCCACACCCATCCAGGCCCAGGGCTGGCCGATTGCGTTATCGGGCCGAGATTTAGTCGGGATAGCTCAAACAGGATCGGGAAAAACATTAGCTTACATTTTGCCCGCTATTGTACACATCATCAATCAGCCAAGGCTTTTGAGGGATGAAGGGCCTATAGTGCTCGTATTGGCACCAACAAGAGAACTAGCACAGCAAATCCAACAGGTGACTTTTTTGCTCTCACTACTTTTTTCAGCATTCCTTACCATATTGTTAAAATGACTTAGAAAACAAATTTGATATTTAAAAATTCAAAATGCATTGGAAAATTCTATATATATAGATAACCTATTTATTGGATTACATTTTTAAACTATTGGCACATTTGAATTGTTGGTTTTTGAGCCTTGTGCAACTTTTTTGCATTAAACCTATCAGAATTATTGATTACCCAGAGAGCTCATGTTATCATTATGATATATTTTACTATACACCTTCGATTAAATGATTGGATATGCAATAATTCCATCATTATATACGATTAATGGGTGTGGCTTAGTATTTTATCAAGTCTAAATTGCCATTTGGGCCTAGGTAATATAGCAAGTAATTCCTTCACTTTAAATATATTATGTAATTAATGAGTTAAGACATAAATCTTACAAACAATGTAATATTAAGTTATGTTTATCTTTTATCGCCACGCACAAGGCTCTGATTGCGATGAACGGGACCGCAGCAGACATGGCGGATCCCAACGACTGTGACATAGTAATTTGATGTTTTAATATTAATTACTGTAGAACCTAGCATCACTGGACAGGCTATGTTCGAAAACCTTTCAAGTTTTTAGGAAAACTGCTTTTTGCTTCAAAATGCTTCTAAATCTCAAAATTCTAAATTAATGTTTGAAACCAGGCACGGTTTCTGAACGTAACCTTTATTATAACTTGGCACTACCTGTTAATTTGTTTTTAGTTTGCTTCTTACAGTATTTTTATGTTTAATACATTTTATAAAGTAATTATGGGTTCTGTACCAAATTTATAAACAACATGATCAAATAATTTGTAACCATTACTTGCTGGTTGTTCTTGAAATGCACTTAAAAAGTTGTAGATTTATATAGTAAGTCTGTATTTATTACAAGTTTGTTTTTTCATAAATCATGGTTATTCATATATATAGCATAATAGTTTTTAATATTACTGTCTAATGTTGTAATGAAAAAAGCAAAAGATAAAGTTTGTTTTTAAATGATGACAATGAATAAGATTTTTCCTATTTTTGGTCCAGAATCCGTTATCTACATTTTTTTGACACATCTATTCTTATTTTGCATAGTTACTTTGTTTATTGTTTTTCAATCAATCAATCGTTTTTTAATCGTACTTATCCTTATTGATGCTGTATATGTATTTATTTGATGAAATATATTTGTGTACTAGTTGTACTATTGTATTATTTGTCAGTATCTATGGCCTTTTGTTGTAGATTTTTTTTGTTTTTAAAATTTTCATTGAAATTATTATTTCATTCAGCCATTGGTGTTATTTCCCCAATAGGTGGCAACGGATTTTGGGCAAAATGTACAAGTCCGCAACACTTGTATCTTCGGCGGTGCACCGAAAGGGCCTCAAGGTCGTTCCCTCGAGCGTGGCGTCGAGATAGTTATTGCAACCCCTGGAAGGTTGATTGACTTCTTAGAGAAAGGTACTTTGGTATTGATTCAAATTCGAAATATATGGTATTTATTTTCCATCAATTTCTTTTATTCATTGCAATAGAGGCTAATTAGTTGCAGTAAATCAAGTTGGCACTGTCTATTCTATAACAATGTTGTAAATGTTTGGATTTCTTATGAGCAATAATAACTGCAAAAGGTTTTTGAACACAGTTTTACTACACATTCACATCAAAGACTATCTTACAATCGTTTTTGGTTAAAGATGTAAAATCATACATATATTGTGCAAGGAGCACAATATATGTAATATTTAAAATAGAGTATCAATATATTATAAAGATTTTTTTCCATAAATTTTGTCTGTAAATTTTTCTTTACACTAAGTATTTAAAATATCCTAATGTAAACCTTCCTTACGAACATTACCAAGATATGTAAATTGTACACTGAATAATATTGTTGTAACACCTTATGTTTTTAGATACGACGAATCTCCGCCGTTGCACGTATCTTGTACTGGACGAAGCTGACAGAATGTTGGACATGGGATTTGAGCCACAAATCAGAAAAATTATCGAGCAAATTAGGCCAGATAGACAAGTATGTCAATTTATTATTTTGTTTCTCAATTCAATTCAAATTTTAGTATAATGGCTCCATCAGGGAATAACTTGATGATTATTAAAAAAAAAAATACAAGGAGTGAATTAAGATTATCTTTATGATAATGAATTTTTTGCACATTGGAGTATTAATATTTTTATATATTCTAATACATTTATTTAAACTGAATATTTTTATAGTGGAGTAAAAATCAAGCAATTTAGGCCATTTTTTGGTTATGAAATTACTTTAGAAAATTTTTCAGTTGTATATGTACTAGTTGTATACTAGTTGTATATACTGATACCATCAATATGTCTTACATACATGCAACAATAACTTTTAATGAATATAGGTGTATAATTAATTACAGATACATGTACATTATAGTGTAATAGATCCTAAAAGAATTCTTGCCCACTTCTTAAATATATATACAGAGTCCTCCTCATCGATGTAGATGACGGCGACGAGCGCATAGGCCACATTTATAGAAAAGTCAGAGTAGACAAAATGTTACAAATGCTACAAAACAATAGTAAAATAATCGACGATTTTTTTCCCAAGGTTCTCATGTGGTCGGCAACATGGCCCAAAGAGGTCAAAAATTTAGCAGAAGAATTCCTCCACGACTACATCCAAATCAACATTGGCTCATTGTCTCTCTCCGCTAATCATAACATCCTGCAAATCGTCGACGTGTGCGAGGAATGGGAGAAGAATGAAAAATTGCTGACACTGCTCAATGAGATATCATCAGAGGAGGAAACTAAGACGATAATATTTGCAGAGACAAAGCGAAAGGTATGTTTATACAATTTGTATTCTATATTTATATAGAATTTTAATGGTGGCTTACAATTGTTGACTTAGATTTATTTTACTTTTAATTATGAGTTACATTTATTTTACAATTCTAATAATATAGTTTTTTTATAAAGATCAATCTTGACTGTGACTTTACTTAATTATTTAGTTAGTTAACTATTATTATGTTTAAATGATGGATTTTAAGGTGTTAAGAAAGCATTATCCTTTTTTTTTTATGCTCAAACGGGCAGACGGTTCACCTGATGTTAAATGAATACCGCCGTCCATGGACATCTGCCACAACCGAGGGTTACAGATGCGTTGACAACCTTTTGAAAATTGGGCTCCGGCTACCTCACTCACCAGATGAAACGCGAAAGAATTTGTCATATTTCCACTTTACGCTGGTCTTCTGTGAGGTCGTGGTACTTACCCGGACGGGCCTGCCCATTCGTGCAACAGCCGAGGCTGCTGCGTGGCCCTACCACCGTTTGTTTTTCAAATAGATTGCTAACCATCATAGTTTTATTAAATAATACCAAATATTACGGCCGCCCATTGTACCCATCAATCATTGTGCACTTGAACATGCATATTCAAAATTTCTTGTTTCTACCTGGTTGATTATCACAAATCATTCGCAGCATGACACTTCAATGTAGGCCCTAGAAATGTATGGTGTGTCATTCTTTAGTTTCTCATTGATATCATATCAGGCAGGCTAAGTTATTATAATATGCTCATATCGTTAAAAAGGTGGATGACATCACAAAGACAATAAACCGCGCTGGGTGGCGGGCCCTAGCTATCCACGGTGACAAGAATCAACAGGACCGGGACTACGTGCTGAGCCAGTTCCGCCAATCGAACGGTGGCATTTTAGTTGCAACGGACGTAGCTGCCAGGGGCCTTGGTAAGTGTACTGATTTGTATCACTGCGGAGCAAGTGTATCGCTCGGAAAATCCCACTGCGGTCCCATTGCGGACGGGTCGAATGCGTAGTCACTGTTGTTGCCCAGAAGTCGATTATCTTATGTTTGTGCCACCTTTTGCGTTAAATTGTGTTAAGCATCGGAATGCCAATTAGCTGATTGGGTGGTGAATTCAGTCCCGCCGATGTATGTGATCTATTTTACGGCATCAAACAGAAGATTTTGCACGTAACAGTTGCGAGGTTTTTTGTGTCTGTTGTCATGTAAAGGTGCTAAATCATCTCGCACTGTTTAGCCGGGGTGTTACTAAGGTCTAAGAGATGTGTCAGGAGCGTAGAGTACGGTAATTGATGCCATTGCTGATTGACAGATATTGTATACAATTGTGGACCTAAACAGTGCCCTGAGAGACACAAATATATTTCTTATAACGAAGCGAAAACTCCCCGATAGCGAAATTTAAATAACTGTTTTTATTGAATTATCGAGTATGTAAAGTCGGACATTTTCGCTTCAGTTCCTGTTTGGAAGCAATTGAAAAGATTAATAACTTTTCCAGTATTCACAATATTTAGGTACCAGTATAGATGGAAAATTGGACTTTGAATTTATTTAATTTAAGTAATAATACACTTTAAGATGGATATATTTATATCTTATGTTCATTAACAGTTAAAATATAAACCAAATTATACTTTATCAAGTGCCTTTTACATAATATTACAGGTGAATATTGGAATATTTTACAGTAACAATGTTAACAAAGCAATGGTCCCATAAAACCATTAGGAATGTTCATTGGGCATTCAAGAGAATCTTGTATTTGTAGATTACATGGCATACACTACATTGTTTAGTACTTATATATTTTTTTTGTCTGACTTTGACCTAATTACAAGGTTCTCAAATGCCTAAAAAAAGAATTTCCATGACTGACTCGGCATTACTGTACAATGTTTTCGTTTCAGAGGCGCATGCGTGCAGAGATATGGGCTAGTCTTGCGGTGTGTTGCTGACTTCACGTTAATAAAAGCATGATTCTAACGATATGTGCAGAATCATTGAAAATGACAGTTTAAAATATCTTGTCAGCGCACACTGTTTTTATTAATGAGCATGCGGCCTCTTAAAATGTTTTTGGGAAATTTAATAATCCTCTCCAATGGGTGGTCTTACTTCTTATAAATTTACGTTGGTAATATCAAAACACCTTTATTTATGAGTCTGGGTGGGTTATATATCTGGCTTACGCTTTTATAATGTAAGACCATTTCTTCGAAACGGTATTTATGCTCGGTTATATGTGTCATGCGAGATTTAACGAACAAAACTAAAGGGCCTGCCCTACGCCACCTGACAAGTTAGTAACAACAAACCAAAAGTATGAGATATGAGAGATATTAAAGCCAGCACACCGTTGGACTCTTGGCCTACAACACTCCGGAACTACTGAAGGGCATAATACAGTTATTTCCAGCCATCTCCAACTGAGCGTGGGGCTGTTTGACTTCTTCAATAAGGTAAATTTTTGACTAGTTTCGATGTTTATTTTATAGTTTTTATGCTATTCATACTATGATCGTGATAATCATTCATTCCAGTTTTTAATAATTATTGTCAAAATTATTGTTTCATAAATATATTTAGAGAAAAATTTGTTTCTATAATTATTATATGAATAATTTTGATTTTAATTGTGCAGTATGTATAGTTTGCCGTAAGTGTGCCTCATTTCCTTTAATGGTTTTGTGTTATCTCCTGTTCAAAGATTTCCTTTAATTGACATTCATTGTTGTATTATTAAATAATGAGGGACTGCTTCTTCTGTCTATGAGTCTTGTAGTTCCCTTTAATTTACAACAGAAATTTTATTTTTTAATAGGAAATCGTTTCACATTGTGTTGTTTTCATATTAATCAATAATGACATTAAATGTATTTACAAAATATGACTATTCTATTGGATCTAGATTGAACAAAGTTTTGAATGATGAATTAAAAAATAAGTTCTGTGAAAACTAATTGCTTTGTACCCTATCGGTGAAAGCCAATTCATTCTAATTGAGATACAAATGTTTAGTACACTAACTAGAGTGAATGTCCAGCGGTTAACACAACTTTGTGACCTCAGACGTGGAGGACGTGAAGTTTGTGATAAACTACGACTACCCCAACAACTCTGAGGACTACGTCCACCGTATCGGGCGCACGGGCCGCTCGCAAAACACCGGCACAGCGTACACTCTCTTCACGCCGAGCAACTCTGCTAAGGTATTAACAAACGAACCCCTCGAGTGTTAGATACTTGTGCGTTGTTATGTGATTCGTAGCGAGATAAATATTTCAGGACAGGACACATTTTTACACAACATATTCTTCTAGTCACAAACCAAGCAACGCTCGTAATGTGGGTACTAGATGACTCAAACATACTTTACTTTTGTAAATAAATACATATATAAAAACACCCAGACACTGGAAAAATACTATGTTCACGCAATATTTTTCCAGTAGTGGGGATCAAACCTACAACACCCTCTGGCGCAAGAGGCAGTGTCACTACCCATAAGGAAAATTGGGTTGTCAAAGTCATCGGCTTCGGCGGGGTTGTGGGTTCGATTCCCGCACAAGACCACTATTTGTGTGACCAACAGATAATGGTTTCGGATTTGGGTGCTTTGTCCATGTGAAATTTATGTATGTAAAACATCCTTGCAACAATGTAAGAAAACCCTTTTCAGCCTTGATGGGGTTACGGGACAGACTAGGACTTGATTTAACATTACTAAAATAAAGCTGGATAGTTTTACAAGGTATTTTATATTAGCTTATGTTTTTTGAAAATTTGACTGTAATATATTGTTTCAGGCAAAGGATCTGATGTCCGTGTTGCAAGAGGCGAATCAGGTAGTCAACCCCAGGCTGTTGGAGCTAGCTCAATGCGGAATGGGCTTCAAAGGAAAATATGGTATGCGGTATTTCTTATACTATAATACTTGCAAGAAACACTTGTAACTGTTTATAAATATTCTCTAATGTAATAAAAATGATTAATCTTTCGTTCCTGAGAATCGAAAAGTTAACGTAGGTACCGAGTTTGAAGTTGAGTTGTTCCAGTCTTCGAAATTCACGCATTTATAAAAAATATAATCTCTTGTCACGATCTATTAAGCTACTTAAATTTAGAACGAAAGAAAAAAAAATGTTTTTTGTGCAAATTATATTTCTTGTTTTGTATTTAAAGTTGAGAAAACGTTTTAAAATTAATATGATGTAGAAAATGAACATTCATGTAGAATTACTAGTGCCATTCAACTTTATTTCTTTCTTTATTGTACATAAAATAAAATCGAAAACAAAGATAAGCTAAAAAAACGTACAAAGACGAGCTTAAGCGGGTTGGTGTATAATGTGTGTACAATTCAATATTACTCAATATTGCCCAATTTTCAAAAGCTTGTCAACGCATCTTTAACCCTCGAATGTGGCAGATGTCCATGGGCGGCGGTATTCACTTAACATCAGGTGAACCGTCTGTTCGTTTGACAACTTTTCCCATAAAAAAAATCTCATACTATAAACTAAAAAATATTGTTAATTTTGTATAGGTCAAATGTTGATTAAATTGCGCAGGTCGGGGGCGATTCCGCGATAGGGATGATGGAGACCATGGTCGTTCGGATCGCGGAAGGGGACGAGGCAGGGGTGGTGGACGTTTCAGTGACAAAGGTGAGTCCTCAACCAAAACTGCTCTCGGAAGCCCACTGAGGCACCTTTAAGAAGAGACCCTGCTCCGTTTCTTTCCAAACCGGTGGTAGCGTTTTGACAATCAATAAGAAAGTGTAATGCTGCTATATTGAATAAAGGTATTTGATTTGTTTCCAACCTCATAGAACTATGGGCAGCGGTGATCAATTACCATCAGGGGACTTGCTTGCTAGTTTGTCTTTTGTCATGAAAAAAATAAGTGTTACTATGGTAGTTCCGCGCATCTGGTTTTGCTATTGCACGAATGGGCATGTACGTCCAGGGAAGTACCACGGCCTCACAGAAGACCAGCGCTGATGTGGAACTGTTATACATTCACTTTATAAAAGGGTTCTCAACGCATCTGCAAACTCACGGGTGTTGTAGATGTCCAATGTGCGGTTTCAATCACTGAAAATCAGCGAATCTCCTGCTCGCTTGATAACTTTGGGTGAGTGAAATAACCGGGTTACACTTAAAGGTACACAGTGCCACATATGAGTTACTGCTCATTGTTGTCGAGGTTCAAGTAGCCTTGGTAGTTTGTAATTTAACCCTGCTCTTACACAGGGATTTAGATATTATTTAAAAGACATTACAATGGATAAATGAAAAGTATGAGTTTTATATACTTTTAGAAAAATATTTTTTACAAATCTTTCTTTTTCAAGTACAGTATATCTGCTAATAGTTATGTATTGTCAAATATCGAAAATGTTAATTACCATTTCCACAGTTAAAAGTTCCAGAAAATTTCTTGCACTATAGTTGGTATCATTTGTCTACTTCCCACAGGCTCTAGGTGGGATGAGAACGATTCCAATAGCTTTAGTCAAGGTGGAAGCAGCGGCTTTAACCGACAGGAAGGGGGCTTCAATAAGCGACCCGACTTCGGGGGCCGTTCGGAGGGATACAACACGCGTCAGCACGACGGCAGTCGCCAGGGCTTCGCCCCCCGCGAGGGCTCCGGGGGCTTCCGAGGGCGCGGAGGGCCGAGGGGACGTGGCCGTGGCGGGCAGAACTACTCTCATGGTGACTCCCAAGGTTATCAGAACCAGGGCTTCAATGTGCCTCCACCCACATCCTATTACAACATGTACTCTCAACCACCACCACCACCTGCCTCTAAGTTTGGGGCCAAGTAAACTGATTTAGTTTCTTTTTTTATTCTCTTGAACCTATCAAAGTGGCCGTGTCCAACAAATTAGTTATGTAAGTCTCTGTTAGTACATTTTCGGCTGAAAGCCGAGTTGTAATAGTAAATTGTGTCGCAAACTATGGAGATGACACAAATGTGTCAATTTGCAATGCAATATCACGATATTGGTATAGCCTATTCTAATAACGGTTTTAATACAAATTGTGTATCAGAATTATTATAATATAAACCTTTGATAAAAAAAGGCTCCATACCTTACGGTAGTCTCTAAGAGATTAGTCCTTTGTCTAATGACTAATTTGATAAATAAAAAAAACATTACTTGACAACTACAATAGTATTTTTTTTTAGAAATTGCATCTACTAATCACCATAACTCATATATTTACCAATATATCAACAGGTGGTGTTAGTAATTACTAGTAATCATTACTTTGATTACTTTTTATTTCATCTGTACCTCTTAACACTTAAGAATATAAATATGCAGTTCTCGAAATTTGTTAAGTTAGCAACAAAAACAATTCAATCTTACTAAAAATGACATTCCTATAACATATGAAATGATATTCAGTGTCTGTTTCTTTTCAAAAATGTGCAATTTACCAAATAAATATTTGAAATAATTATACTGTTTTATTTACCATTTACCTGGTAACTTTCATGTCTTTAAACCATGTTTTATTACTAATAAGTGTTAATAAAAGTAAAGTAATAGCCTATACATGTCCCACTGCTGGGCAAACGCCAACTCTGTACAGAGGGTATTAGGGCATGACCCCACGCGGCCACTGCGGATTGGCGGACTTCACATGTTTTCGAAATATTTTATTTGTTATTATGTCGAAAATAGGCAGGTTTCCTCACGATGTTATCCTTCACCATTGAGCATGTGATAAGTCGCACTTAAAATTAACAATTCCATTGGTGCTGGCACCTTTGATCGAACTCTGGTAGCTTGAGTATATTGAAATAAAGGTGAGCACCCACACACAGGTATCACGGCTTGTAGTGTTAGTAATAGAAGTGGGCGATACAAATCGTATCAGATATGAAAACTAGATATTAGTACAATATCTGAATATCGCTTACTGGCTCGTTCAATATCTATGTATTTTACAATATCTGATATTTCCGAAATCTGATGTACCGTGCTCGCTCGCTATACCGACACGAATCGCGATATCATACGCGTTTCTCACAATATCTGATTTTTAAACAGATTTCGAGCGACAAAGCGCGTGAGATATAAATACTCACTAATTAGAGCGGGACGGCAAGCAATGCACGATATCAGATATCGAGCGACAAAGCGCGTGAGATATAAATACTCACTAGTTAGAGCGGGACGGCAAGCAATGCACGATATCAGATTTTTAAACAGATTTTGAGCGACAAAGCGCGTGAGATACAAATATTACACTAGTTAGAGCAGTACGGCAAGCAAGGCACAATATCAGATTTTTAAACAGATATTATGAATAAGTTAAGTAATTTTGAATCTTAACACCATGCAAATAAGATCCGTTTTAATTAAATACTAATCATGGTATCAAAGATTACTACAACGATATTATTATATTTCTATTGTTTTGTTTAGCCTTGAGCCGTAACGGGCGACAAAGCGCGCAGTTAAGTAATTTTGAATCTTAACAGCATGGAAAAAAATCTCTGTTGCATTTAAATACGAATTACGGTATTAACGATGTCTTTAAATTTTGTTTAGTCTTGAGCTGGATTGCATTGGTACTAAGCACGTAATAGTAAGGGATTCCAACTTACTACTTAAGAATTTTCTGCCTAAATTAAGGGAGAAAAATATAAATGGAAATTTTTTAGGAGGTAAATTTTTTGTGAATATTTTTATCAGTTAAATTTTATTCATATATTTGGAAAAAAATAAAAGTACACAAAAAGAAAAATATAATTTAATAGTGTTGTGCTGCTTGGGTCTAAATCAGAACAATGCTTATGTGCTTTGTGTGTATATTTTAAATTCTTCCGCCCTAAGTTATAATACTGAATGTATTATTTCTTACACAAATTATAAAGATATTGTCACTCATGATTGCGTGTTTTAAAAATATGTTAAAGTCAATTATTAAGCGATATATAAGATGTTAAAATAAATCATTTTTATATTACTTCAATTTCTATTTTTAATGAAATTTTTAATTTTATCAGGTAATGTTTTAATTTTACCTTAATAGTATAAAAAAATCGTGATTTTAAATTCAGTAAGTTTTTTGAATTTAGTCAATTTTAGTGGGTTTTCGAATTTATTTAGAAGTACATATTCTTTTTGAACAGTTGGTATCACTGGTAATAGCTTTAGTTATGTATAGATAAAACGATCGTCGAACAAGACTTTCGACGATTAAAGTCAAACAGCTTACGTTCGTAAACGTGAATTTAAACCCGGAGGAATCTAAATAATTATTAACCCACACATCATTGTAAATAAGTTAAGTTTTAAATAACAGGAAAATTATGTACATAGAATGAATCAACTTTTAAATACTCTTTTTTTTTTTTTTTTAGAATTCAAGGTGGATACGGGACCGTAAAATATCTAGATATTAAAATACATAGTTTCGAAATCTGATATTTGAAATCGATATCTGATTCAGATACGGTACTCAGAAAAAGCGATACGACCCATCTCTAGTTAGTAACTAGACAAAAATCTGTAATTTTTATTTCTGTGCCCATTCGCTTAAAACATTGTCAAAGCTCTCATTTCTTTTTTATTTAAAAAGTACTGATATTCGGATGGTGGAATGCATCACAAAATGTAAATTGTATATTTTTCATTACGTAAATTTTAAGCCATCAATGGACTGTACCTGTGATTATTTTTCGTACAATTTTTGTTTAACACCTGTATTTCTGGTTTGATGATTAAATTTTTCTCTACTCAGTCCTTCCAATCCCATTCAGTATGTATTCTTACATTATTCAGAATACATCCCTTTTAACTTTTGCCCTCAGGTTTAATAAAATGATATCATATTTTGCATTTATTCCAGAAGATTAAATTTATGGTTCAGTAATTTGCACTGCAAATAATATGTAACATCTGATTTGAGAATTGGGTTAAAAATAAAGGATGTCATATCATGGAATTTATTTATTCACTTTATTCCTACAAGATAAATTACACAGCTGCACAATGTCAATAACACTACCCATTCAAAGATGCATTTTGAATGCCATCTATAACTGTATTAGATCAATTTTACTCATCAACTATTGGACTAAGAGTTAACAATGTTTTTAATAAAATTGTAAATGGCTAGATCGAATACAATTCCTTAATATCTTTTTTTTTTAAAGATGGTTCTGTTTAAAGCTTGACATTGTGCCAATGTTCCAGCAACCTAATGGCCTGCTTGGGCCTTCTTCTCAGGATCAACATAGTCCAACTGCTCTTCAGCATCATGGGGCCAGAATGTAGGCCTGTTGATGGGGTCTAGAGCCTCATCCGGATAGGCATCACGGTAGTCTTCCATTGTCATTTGGTCATATGGAAGTAGTGCCTTGATCTCAGCAATTTGCTTCTCATACCTAAGGAGTTAAATCGTTATGTAATTAGAGTGTTATACTGGTTGAGGTATAACGGGTCTTAAAATTATTTTTTACAGCAGTTTAAACTTATAAAACAATTTAGTCAATATGAAAAATTTTAATAATTATTGTAATATTAATATTAAATCAAAACTTACGAAACAATGTTTTTGTTGGACTCCTGGATGAATACCTCAATAGTTTTCTTGACTTGAGCCCATTGCGCATCAATTTGTGCAGACACATTGTCCACTGGGTAGGGAATCTTCAGGGCGTCATATTGCTTTTGGAAGTTGTCCACCATGCCAGGAATGGGAACTGATTGTTTATAGAGGTTCCAGTTGATTTTAGGTGGCTCTGGAGGGTTAGCCAGGACTCTGATAACATGAGGTGGGAAAAACAGTTGAAGGTAGAGAATTTAATTTGCATTCACTTTTCTTCACAGACTATTGAGCTTAGTAGTTAAAAGTATTTAAAAAAAATTCAATATAATTGAACTAAGCACTAGAGCTAATTGTAATTCTTTATAGCATGTTAATCATTGAAAGTCAAAAAAACTTTAATAATAGTATTTGAAAATAAAATATATGGTTAAAAATTATGTAACATCGCTGTCAAATACTAACCTGCGAAGATATCCATCAGACTTAACTTTGAAAGCAGTTAAGTGAGCCTTCTGTTCAGCAGGCACCCTCTCGGCAAGGGCAGCCCAATTTATCGAGCTCTGAGCAATTCGTTTCGCCATATTTTGGCTAAATTATTCGACCCACTACAAAATTTTAGCACTTGTCACTCGCAAGACCACTTCACTATAGGGATGCCGAAAGTCAAGAAATATATCAATGTATCGATATTAAATATATCAATATTTTTAGCAATATATCGTATTTTGATCCGATATATCGATATAAAAAAATGAGTTTTGAATTCGTATCAAAAACTATATTTTATTCATATTAAATTCAGCTGAATATTAACAGATTCCAAGCCGTAAAAGATAAAAATTAACGGAAAAAATGTTAGATTTTGTACTATAATAATGGTATTTATACTACATATTCCATATCTAGTGTACAACATGGTAAAGAGGTGTTAAAAATCATTATATTGATCTACAATATGTTAAGCTAATTTATAAATAGCATGCGAAATATTAATGGTATCAATTAAAGTTACGCTAAACGCATTAAACTTTTATATTTAAATAAAGTTAACAAAATATAATTATAATCAAATTCTCTATTAAATGTCACATTTATAAGATAATGTGAAGTTTTCACAGAAAATTCTTTGACGGCATTATTAGTTAATCTAAGTTATTATCAGTTAACTACTGTCACTTTTTTAAATTGTCTTTCAGTATTTTCATGTCAATCAAATATGTATTATTAAATTTTGCTTAAATCTAGGTATCTTTTTGGACAAGTCTCTGCGGGTTCCTTATTGAACCGTTATTAATTTCGTTTTAAACAATGCTTTAGGTCTATTTTTACAAAGTAACATGTTTTTTTATTTGTTACTTTTTGGATTCGATTCAGGGCTAAAGAAAATGATTTATCTTACTACATAAGCTGTTTGATTTTTCCAATGAAGGTCTTGGTCAATAAATGAAATGATAGTTAAATAATATAAATAATTAATAATAACGTAACTTCGTTTAATTAAGAATTCTCTTATATTAAAATAATGTAAATTTGGTATAAAAAATACTATTACTTATTATAACTGAACTAAATTCATTACGTTTTTAAAATCGAAAATTGGACCAATATATCGATTATTTTTCATATATCGAGGCCAATATTATTTTTATAAATGTATGTCGATATATTTCTTCACTTTCTTCATCCTAACTGCACTGCAGCCCGTTTTGCATGCATTTCAAATTTATTTGTTCATGCTCAGGATAGGAATTTTTCATAACTATTTGGTCAATATGATAAAGACAATTGCGGTAGTAATTAGTTGCAAAATAAATACTTATCACATTTGCATTACTTATCTTTGCATTACTTACATTGCATCCTAAATTATACTTATATCCTAGATTCTTGGTATTCCCCGATAATAATTTACCATAAACCAATAAGGTGGCCATAATTCTTTATTGATATCAGAAACTATGTTTTTTATTAACAGATTATGGTCATTTTTGATTTGGTTAACATATATAACATACCTTGCCTCTGAAGTAGCCTAATAGATTTTATCTTTGCCAATTGTGATCCGTCCATTTTAGCCTAAATGGCGACCATTATTAATAATGTACTCTTTGATGGCAACAAACCGTTGCCCACACTGCGCCAGACTGTCAGTGTTGCCTATAATGCATGGCCTAAATCACCATTTTTTCCAGCATAAATTCAGAATTTCGGCTTTTGTAACGTAGAGTAACCCTAACACCAAAATATCGTTATAAGTAAAATAAAGCGCAATTTAAATTAACTTAAGAAAGTCGCTTGCGTTGCTGGAGCCTTCCCATATTTTTCCATTTTCTTGTCACAAAAAAGTGCGTGTACTGATTTACTATAAAAAAGAATTAATCATGACCAGGATAACAACAAAAACATGACAAGTTCATTGTCCGGAAGCTCGCTTTTAACCTGAGTTCGATCCGGTGTCGGCACCAATGAAATTGTTAATTGCATAAGCAGTGGGACATATATATGCTGTTACTTTAGGATTACAACAGCTATTCTACGGGCAAGCAAAAAGGCTCGGTTTTTTTCTGATTCAGACATACATATAGCTAGTATTGAATCATACTAAATATAGTTGAATAGGGAATTACAAAAAACTATTTTATTCACTTTCAATCGTATTATCTGCAAACAGAATATTTTTATTTTAAATTATTTACGATATATTCTACAATAATTTATTTGAATAGAGTTATAATCAACAATGAACATAAGTAGTACAAATAAATTTATTCACCTTTGGTATGTTTTACATTAGCCGCTAGAAATAAATTACAATATAACTTATTTATAATATATTCATTCCTATTAAACAAAATAATGATGATTTCGGATTACAATTGTTATCATATAATATATTATAATTAAAATAATTAATTTCTAATTGACTTTTTCGTATCAGTCTTGGCAAAAGTTAAGAATAAAAATGTTTATTTCTTTGTGGTAATATAATGAGGAAATCATAAAAAAGAATTATATACTTTCGAAGAAATCAATGGAAAACAGTGTAACTAACCTTTTACACTAAATAAAATTACAAATATTTTTTGCGCTTAAATAAAACTGTCCTATATATTAGCGTCAATCATCGTACATACACAACAATGAATCGACAAAAAATTTCAGGATACAATAAAAATTAAACGAAATTATTTTTGGTCAGTCAAAGTAGCATCTATTTACTATTATTTGGTTGGTGTTACATTGTTAAGTTTCTATTCTCTAACGGAATGTAATTTAATATATCTAGTGTTCACATTCTACCAAAAACGGGGGTAATGTGCCAATAATTGTGATTTTAATTTGTCACGATGCAGAAAGTATTATGATTGCTTTTTCTTTAATTAGTATCCGTGGTAGTTATTCTGATGAGATAAATTAAAGCGATGATGCTTTGATGGCGACTTTGTAGTGTTGCTAGCTCCGAACTATCCCATTCATGTAGATTAGTTAAATTCTACGGGTTGTCGGTATTACATGAAGTTTTATAAAGTTCATCCATGATACAAGTCCGAACCTATGTAGTCTTACAATCAAGTGTACAGCCCTTATTGTTCAACAAAAATCTACACTGACATATGCCCCTCCATTTTCCATTTTCCTACACAATAACAAAAATCATAACCTATCAAAACCGATCACGGTGAACTCGATTGACGGTTATTCAACTCATCATTTCCACGACGTGCGTAACACATAAATAAATATCTAAGTTAAAACGTTCCGTTTGATTTTATTAGCCTTTGGTTGTGCCACTGGTGCTGTGTTTATCGTACTAGTATATACAATAATTACAGATTCCCCCTTCATAGGGGGCGCGACGAGCGTTCATAACTTCGTCGGCTGGTTGTTCGTATTCCGTTTGTCCGGGTAGTTGGGGGAGTTGGAGGAGTGTCCGACTGTTCGGCTGCCCCACGTCGTCCTCTTGGCCATGGGGCTGTTCCTGCAGAGCTTCAGGAGGTTGGCGTAGGCGGCTCGGTACTGCCTGTTGGTGGCCGCGTATATCAGCGGGTTGACCACGCTGGACGCCCATGCCAGTATGGAGGCGATGATGTGCAGCCACGGGTAGGTGATGCCGTCGTCGGTCACGTTCATGATCATCAGCGGGAGGAAGCACGCGAGGAAGCAGAGGAAGATGGTCAGCATGAGAGTGGTGAGGCGGGAGTCTTCTTCTTTCTCCCTCGCCGTCTGGCCGCTGAGCTTGCTGTAATATGAGCCGTTAGTGAGGCGTCGATGGGCTTTGGTGTAATAGCTTAGACTTAGTATCATCGGGGGCTGATTTAGAAAGGTAGAAGATAGGTCCCGTGATAGTCAAAGTCAATTCAGGATATCGACCATGATTGCAGGAAAAATTAACCTGCTTTCCCCTTAAAAATATCTTTAATAATAAGTTAAATAAAAAGTTTTTAAAACAACAATGGTTTTGCTTTTATTGTTTGCATATTATATCATTGATTCCAAAAGAATATATGCGCAAGGAATATTTTTTTTTTGTGTGCAATATAGATCGTCACTTTTTACTAACCTTTGAGTTTTGAGTGCCCTCCAGTTTTCCTCTTGCTCTCACGCAGTATATCAGAGTACTAGAAAGCCGAAGCTATATGCTTTTTGAGTTTTACGCCAATTTGACATGTCAATCGAGTAACGGTCAGTCTTAGGATTACTATAAAATCTCGTGACACTGATGTTCAAGAATGATAACGGAGGCCCCACTTAAAAAACTATCAGATGCCGACAGCTTCAAAGGAAAGTCTATACAGTAATATAGACAATATCCGCATAGTCTTGCTATAGATAAGGCCTACCATAGACAATACAGTGTACCTTAGAGGATTTATTCTGTTCGCTCACCCACATACACACCTGCGGCCCTCCAGTTTCCTCTTGCTCTCACGCACGCGCCAGTATATGCAGGAGTACGAGACGATGATCACCACGCAGGGCAGGGCGAAGCCGAACACGAAGAGGTATTTCTTCGGGGACATGCCGTCCTTCGGGAGGATCGTGCACGAGAAGGTGTCTGGCTCCAGGCCCAGTTGCCCCCAAACGCCGAGCAGCGGGGGTATCTGATAATGGCGTCGCGTATTACTCGGCTCGGTGGCCCGCTAATCAAACCTTGATCTTTTTTTTATGTGACAAAGTGGCAAACGAGCTGGCGGTTCACCCGATGTTAAGTGATAACCGCCGCCCATGGACTTTTGCAACACCCGTGGGGCAGATGCATTGCCACCTTTTAATAAAGTGGGCCCCGGCTACCTCATTCACCAGATGAAACGCAGAAGTGTAACACTTCTACTTTACGCCGGTCTTCTGTGAGGTCTTGGTACTTACCCGGACGGACCTGCCCATTCGTGCGTGGGCAACAACAGTGTTGCGAGGGTCTACCGCCGTGAACGGGTAATTTCTTTTTTGTTAATTATTTGTCATTTCGTGAGTTTCTAAAGTGTTGTTTCCTATTTTGACTGAAAGGCTAATGGCTAAGTAAATTATAAAATATAATAGTTAATTGGCAGAAGGCCACTTGACTCACTACCGATCGATTCGAGATCGGAGACGGACACTTAGCTCCGCCGCCATCTTGGTTTTCTTTTTGGTTTTATGATTCATTACCGTGTGACTCATGTGACTAACTCGAGAGGATGTAGCGACTTTTTATTTTATCCGCGTATCTAAAAGGGGGAGTGGATTTTATGGGAATCGTGCGATTCGATGACTAATTGGCGGCTGGTGTTGTTCTTTTTCTTATTAAATTCTCGAGAACCCCCGCGAGATTCGCTTCGCAGTCCCGAAATATCCCAGAGTGGTGGCGCCCCTACTGTAATGTTAATACTTGACCCGGAGTTTTGTGTATTCAGATGGATTCTTGGGAGGCGAATGGCATACAAATGCAGTGTGATAATCTGTCTGTGACCCTCGCTTCGATGCCCAATAGTCATACGAAACATGGTTCGTATTTAAAATACTTACGCTTAGCGGGAGCCTGCGATTTCACGTGTTTTGGGAAAAAAAATAAAGATCTTTAGAAAAAATGGTAAGTGTGTTGAAAGAGAAAACACTACACTTATACCCGTCAAAAGTATTGGTACATTTCAGAAAAAAACAAATGTAGTTTTTACACATTGTTTCTGTGAAATAATCAGGTAATAATTATTTGTTTATATACTTGTTATAAAGATTTTTCTAAGCTTTTTCAACGTTATTTCTTAAGTTATTTTTCTTAGTTTTGTCTTAAGTTAAAAAAGAGTGAATTCAAAACGTAAAGACGTTTTAGTTTAACTTATACGTATCGATATAAATAATTGTTAATGGCTTAATGTTGGCTTAATGTTTCATTAATTATTTTGTTCGTGACCGTCACATGCGGATATGTATGTACGTTAGTTTATCTGATTGTCGGTCGTTGACAGTTCACACGAAATAATAAGCGAATGGATTTGATTTATCGATCCTGTTTAATTCAATAATTTAATAGTGTGTACTTCGCGACGAATCTGATAGAACTCTTTTAGTCTAGTAGATTTATGGAAGCTACCCAAAACAAATATGGATAGGTATTATAAGTGGGGTCAGGTGCGAGAGCCGTGATAGCTCATTGACTGGGCTGCTCGCTCTTAATTCAATATGTTCGAGTAATCTGAATTCGATTCCCGGTGCCGGCACCAATGAAATTATTAATTTAATTGCTGACCTTGATAAGTAACTTGCTGACTTATCAAAGTCAGCACGATCACGTGCTTATCGAAATAATAACAAACAAATTTCGAAGATATTATGTAAAGTCCGCCGATCCGCAGTGGGGCCGTGTGCTGGACTATTCCCTAATACCCTCTGTAACAGAGGAGGTCTTTGTCCATCAGTGGGACATGTATGGGCTGATACTTTACTTTACTTTTAACAGAGAGGTGAGCTTACACGCCAATGAATTGATCATGATTACTGTACTTCTATTCTGAGTTGCACATTTATGCATAGCAGCGGCCCTGGTTCTGTGGTAAATGTGGTATGGCTGGCCATACCACATTTACCCTAGGGTATACATACCATGATACCGAAGGACACCAGCCATATGAGCAGCAGCTGTACCCAGATCTTGGTGGTGGTGTAGATCTGCGAGTACATGTCGTAGTACGCGATCAGGGTGTACCTGGAAATAGGACGGATCGTTAATGAATTAATCTTATATATAAAAATGGATTGCTGTTCGTTAGTCTCGCTAAAACTCGAGAACGGCTGGACCGATTTGGCTAATTTTAGTGTTCATATATTCTTGGCAGTCCAGGAAAGGTTTAAACGATGAGAAATTATAGAAAAATTGCATGGAAAATCGAAATAGCAACAATTTCATTTTCCCATACAAACTGTACCTGTCAACCTGTCAAACGATTTTTGAACGCGTTCCGATTCCTCTAGAAATAATTTATATGGCAAAACAACGTTTGCCGAGTCAGCTAGTGAATAGATATTTTTTATGCGATAGGGTGGCAAACGAGCTGGCGGTTCACCTGATGTTTAGTGATAACCGCCGCCCATTACCAACTGCAACACCCGTGGGGTTGCAGATGCGTTGCCACCTTGTAATAAAGTGGGCCCCGGCTACCTCACTCGCCAGACGGAAGTGTAACACTTCCACTTCACGCGGGTTTCTGTGAAGTCGTGGTGATTACACGGACGGAACTGACCCCATTAGTGATACATCGAAGACTGTTGCGCGGCTCTGCCACAATCTATCGATATCTACGGTTGCAGCCGCGCGTAAAACTTATTTTACTTTGACTAATAATAATAATAATGTGTTGCTAAACTAATAATAATAATGGGTCCTATTTATATATGTATTATATACAATATTTATATCTATATATTTATTTTTATCAATAATATTTATTTTATATATGCAATATATATCTATGTGTTTATTTTTTATCTATAAACCCAACCAGCCGAGAAAACAAAGAAATATCCCCAACGTAATAAGTAACGTAATATTCTTTATTGCACACCAAAATGAAATATACAAACAAAACCTTAAAGTTTAAATGATAGGTACAATGGGCGGTCTTATTACTAAAAGTAATTTCTTTCAGGCAACCTTTGGATGGATTGGAATAAATTTCTTGTTTGTATGTTTTTCTTCTAATGTTCTAATGTTTTTCTTTCAGTCCGTAGACTTTTCTAGAGTGGATTCTCACATTAAAAAAAGCCCGGCCAAAAGCAAGTCGGACTCGCTAACGAAGGGTTCCTTACCATTATTTATAAAAACGGCAAAATAATCATATCTCCTGTATGGGAGCTCCACTTAAACATTTCATTATTCAAATTATTGTTATAGCGGCAACAGAAATACATCATCTGTGAAAATTTCAAATGTCTAACTATCACGGTTCATGAGAGCCGCTTGGTGACAGACGGACAGATAGACAGACAGCGAAGTCTTAGTAACAGGGTTCCCGTTTTACACTCTGGGTACGGAACCCTAGAAATGATGTACATATATAAAATGCTTAAAACCACACTTTACTCGTCGCTGAACCATCGATCAGAATGTAACGAAGCTGAACGGTTTAATCAATTAAACAGTTCAGCGTCGACACTGGGCCCTTCTCAATCACTGCCGAGTGTCGCCTTATCGCCGTTTAAAAACCACTCAGCTTATCCCCCGTGGGAAAGCGCTTGTTTGTCCCGGATAAGATAGCAACGTATGAGGTAACATGCAAACCGCAGTAAACTTCAACTGACTCGTATTAATGATCGTTTGATATATTCATCTTAACAATGTTCGATTCTGACGGGATTATTAAAAAAAAAAACTTCGCTAATTTCGGAAGCTGTTGTCTCCTTAGGAAGCACTTATAAGCAACGGAAACGTTATATTTGGCCGTGACAAACGCCGATTACTTTTTCCACGCATCTTATGAATGATTAATAGTTAGCGGCTGCAATTTATTTTATCACGTGCTCAGCGCTGAAAGAAAACATCGTGAGTAAACCTGCATATTTCCACCAAATAAAAATATGTCGAAAATAACTATATAAAGTTCGCCAACCCGGTGCGGTCGCGCGGTGGACTATGCTCTATACCCTCTGTACAGAAGAGACCTTTGCCCAGCAGTGGGACATATAATATAGGTTGTTACTTTACTTTAATTTCTTACATCTTATCTATTGTTTATAAAATCAATATTCATTACGAAAAAAATTCTATGTAGTAACTACTACACGAAGACTTTTTGAAAGAAACTTTTGAAGAGATAATGTGGTGTATACGTCCCACGGCTGGTCAAATGTCTCAGCATTTGAAGTCTATTTGGGCAAACACGTACTTTCCAAATTGGATTTATTAAATATGTAATAAAATGTCACTTTATCGCTTGTGTGATGTAAACATTAGATACTATATACACATTAAAATAGTACTTCATATTGTAATTAAAAACTTCTTTGCAGCCGAAACTGGGGTATGAGATGATGTTGCTTGAGTATAGGGAAATAAAATCCGAGTCTAGACATTAAGCAGTTAACTTAACCTACACAGTACACTCGAAATATACAGTTCCCTTAAAATTTATCAACCATGAAGTGAAAGACAAACAAAATCGAAGAATTTGCTTTAAGTTTTTTTACCAATTAAGTTTTTTTTAGAAATAAACAATGAACTTGGTTGAGAATCACTGCTACGTTTGGTTTTACCTTACACTCGATACATATACCTCAACATTCATTAACGATTCATTCGATATGTCCTCAACATTCATTAACGACTAGCAACCCGCCCCGGCTCCGTAAGGTGCAAAGTTGTATGTTTGTTTACGACATCGCATTAGAAACCTCTAAAATTACCAGTGTTTATCTACTATATTATGCATGAATTATACATATAAACCTTCCTCTTGAATTTTCTATTTATTAAAGAAAACCGCATCAAAATCCGTTGCGTAGTTTTAAAGACCTAAGCATATATAGGGACGGACAGACAGCGGGACGACTTTGTTTTATACTATGCAGTGATGATGAAAAAAAATACAAACGCCATGGAGTAAATAGCTTTATATTTCTTTAGAAATTCATAGTGAATTTGATTGAGAATCGGAGTAATGACAGTTTGTTACTCCGACCACAAGGTCCAGCCGTTGCCAGATGCCAAGCCAAGACTCTCCGGAGAAAAAGAAGTGTAAACAGTCAAGCAAACGAACAAGTGCCCCTTTGTACTTCGAGTACTGACCCGCTACATTCGTGGTTTTATTTTAACGGGAGCAAACCGCTCACGGCCCGAGTCACGAGAGGTAGCGTTCTACACTACATATTAAAAAAGACTATGGTCGCTGTTTGATTAATGAATAATTCCTGTGTCACTGTAGGTATCAATAGTTTCGAACAATCATATGGATTTATCTATACTAATTGACGACAGATTCTGTACCTATATTTATTATCTGTTTCATTGAAAACTACTATAGTAAAAAATTTCAAAGCAAACTGTCTCAATAAAACGACGCGTGAGTTCGTCAATAGTAAGATGGAGCTTATTTCCCATTTAAAAGGCGTCTTTTTAACATCGCTGTTGAGTTACGTTTCGCAGATTTCAATTCTGATCCAGCGCCCGCGTTTCAATTAACGAGATGATCATTTATGTTAAAAACGCAGGAGACTGTTAGCGGCGTTTTAAATATTATAAAACATTGTCTATGGTCGTGTTGTGGATGCAGATAAAAAAGTCATTACCAAGCATGCGTAAAATGTGGGAGAGTCGTACTTTTCCCGCGTAATATGCATGAAGATGGTTCGGTTTTTCAATACTGGCAGTTTTCCCCGCAATTCACTGACAAATTGCAGGCTTACAAATCATAGACAGGCAATTAGACTCTGCGTGTCTACCGATACTGGGAGATTGGAAATTTTTGTGGAATGTGATTATTTACACCTCTAAATTATAGGAGACGGAAAATTATATAAAATATATTATTAAATATATTTTACGAAAAATGAGATTTCGATTTACGAAAAAAAAGGACAATTGACTTCGACACGCATTTTGGAGCGCTCTTTTATTATTTAAACAAACGCGAGTATATCATGTTTGCCTATACCTTATTCAGCAATAATTCATAAGGATCCTGACACTTAAAACCTTCGATGGAATTCGTTACGAGGAAATCTAAGAAGCCATATCAAAGAGCCCGCTAGCTCACCGCATCTGGATAATGTCACGCGCCTTCCGCCTGTTACATTCTTTTTAATAATCTGAACGAAATGTAATCAACCTCTATCCGGTCAGTGACAAAAAATACATGAACCTAAACGTTGTCTCTGAAAAAAAAAGTTAAGCTTCCTTCTGTCTTAAGATTTTAATATTAAAATACGTAAAATATAAAAATGGTGAACTAATTTAGTGAACGTCTGAAATAGGCATTGTTTTTTTGTACATATTATATCATTGATTGTTTGTTAGCAGTCTGTATTAACAAACGACAAACTTTGAAAAGTTTGTATCTAATCGATGAGTTATTACGATTACAAATAAATACGCCTTATTTCTTCCTTCTTTACGGACATCTGTGTAACAGCGTGTTGTTGAATCGCAATTAAATTTCAAAAAAAGAAAATAATGAACCCAACAAATAAAGTTCCGATTTATTTGTTTCGATGGGCCTAAAGCACCGCTGTAAATCACCGCAGACTTAAAATGGAACCTTTTTTAAGCTGACAGCTTAAAAACAACAATGGGGCCCCGCTTTGATGTGAATTGAAATGTTGCCACCATAACCCCGCTTGGTTCTTAACGTTGCCGAGAACGGAATTTTAGTGCGTGACTTACGGGAATTAATTTGATATTTCGTTCAGACTGCCCATCAATCGTCGAATACAGTGTTCGGTGTAAATTATATTGAGAGTTGGGATTACGTAAATAGAATTTGATGGATCGTAAACACGAGTCTGGCGACCTTAATGCATCGAGTTCTTAAAAAAAATAATGTAAAACATGGTATATAAAATTTCAAGCATAACTTCCACCTCTATTGTGCGAAATGTGACGGCAGTAGTCCCGTCTCATATACACGTTTTGATACCTACAGATATCTTAAATTCTTCTCCTTTTCTGGTCGCAATTGGGTAATAACTTAAAATCTTAAGTGCAGCTTGTAGTTT